AATAAATTAAAAAAGAATTGGCCAATGAAAACCTTAAACATAGCAGGAAAACACTGTCTGACATATTACTGGAAAACTTTATAAATAGCCCTGAAACATCATACTACATAGTGCTGGAAGATGAGCCCATCAGGTCAGATTGTTGTTGTTGTTGTTATGTGCCATGGAGTTGGATCCGACTCATAGCGACCCCTCCTTGGGTTTCTGAGGCAGTATCACTACACAAATAGGTTGCCCAACCTTCCTTCTGAGGAGTGGCTGAAGGCACTCAAAATTTGACTGGGGAAGAGCTGATTCCTCAGAGTAGAGACGACCTTAACGATATGGATGGAGTAAAGCTTTCAAGACCTCCATTGGCTGATGTGACATGACTCAAAATGAGTAGAAACAGATGCAAGTATCTATTAGTAATTGTAACTTGGAATGTATGAAGAAGGAATGTAGGAAAATTGGAAATTGTCAAACATGAAATGGAACACATAAAGATCTATATCCTAGGCATTAGTGAGCTGAAATGGACTGTATTTGGCCATTCTGAATCACACAACTATATGATCTACTATGTCAGGAATGACAAATTGAAGAGGAATGGCATTCATTGTCAGAAAAACTGTTTCAAGATCTGTCCTGAAGTACAATGCTGTCAGTTATAGGATAATATACATACACCTGCAAGGAAGAGCAGTTGATACTACTATTATTCAAATCTATGCACCAACCACCAAAGCCAAAGATGAGGAAATTGAAGATTTCTACTAACTTCTGCAGTCTGAAATTGACCAAACATGCAATCAAGATGTGTTAATTATCACTGGTGACTGAAATACAAAAGTTGGAAACAAAGAGTTACCGGTAGTTGGAAAAATATGGCCGGGGCGATAGAAATAACGCTGGAGATTGCATGATAGAATTTTGCAAGACCTATGACTTATTCATTGCAAATACCATTTTTCAACAACATAAGTGATGGCTATATATGTGGACTTCACAGAGATTGAGTATCCAGGAATCAGATTGACTACATCTGTGGCAAGAGGCTATGGAGAAGTTCAATATCTTCAGCCAAAACAAGTCCAGGAGCTGACTGTGAAACAGATCATCAACTGCTCATATGCACATTCAAGTTGAAGTTGAAAACAATTAAAACAAGTCCACAAGAGCCAAAATATGACCTCGATACTATCCCTCCTGGATTTAGAGACCATTTAAAGGATAGATTTGATGCACTGAACACCAATGACCAAAAACCAGAGGAATTGTGTGGGATGATAACTGGGGAATCCACTTCCATAGAGATACTGCCTCAGAAACCCAGGGAGGGGTTACTATGAGTAGGGACCAACTTGACGGCAGTGAGTTTGGTTTGGTTTGGTTTATCAAGAACATCATCCATGAAGAAAGCAAGAGGTCATTAAGATAAGAAAGGAAGAACAGACCAAAATGGATGTCAGAAAAGACTCTGAAACTTGCCCTTGAGTGGAGAGTAGCTAAAGCAAATAGAAGAAGTGACAAGATAAAAGAGCTGAACAGAAGATTTCAAAGAACAGCTTGAGCAGACAGAGCCAATTACTATAATGAAATGTGCAAAGACCTGGAGTTAGAAAACCAAAAGTGAAGAACACACTCAGCATTTCTCAAGCTGAAAGAACTAGAGAAAAAAATTAAGCCTTGAGTTACCATACTGAAAGATTCTATGGGCAAAATATTGAATGATTCAGGAAGCATCAAAAGAAGATGGAAGGAATACACAGAGTCACTGTACCAAAAAGAATTGGTCGATCTTCATCCATTTCAGGAAGTAGCATAGGATCAAGAACCAATGGTACTGAAGGAAGAAGTCAAAGCTGCACTGAAGGAATTGGCAAAGTACAAGGCTCCAGGAGTTGACAGAATACCCATTAAGATGTTTCAACAAACGGATGCCCCGCTGGAGGCACTCACTTGGTTATGCCAAGAGATTTGGAAGATAGCTACCTGGCCAACTGACTGGAAGAGATCCACATTTATACCTATTCCAAAGAAAGGTGATCCCACAGAATGTGGAAATTATCGAACAATATCATTAATATCACATGTAAGTAAAACCTTACAGAAGATAATTCAAAAACAGTTGCAGCAGTATATTGACAGAGAGTTTCCAGAAATGCAAGCTGGATTGAGAAGAGGGATATCATTACTGATGTCAGATGGATCTTAGCTGAAAGCAATGAATACCAGAAAGATGTTTACTTATGGCAAAAGCATTTGATTGTGTGGATCATAACAAATTATGGATAACATTGAGAAGAATGGAAATTTCAGAACACTCAATTGTACTCAAGAGGAGCCTGTATCTAGATCAGGAGGCTGTCATTTGAACAGAACAAGGGGATACTGCATGGTTCAAAATCAAGAAGGGAGTGTTTAAGGTTGTATCCTTTCACCATATTTATTCAACTTGAATGCTCAGCAAATAATCCAAGAAGCTGGCTTATATGAAGAAAAATGTGGTGTTAGGATTAGAGGAACACTCATTAGAACCTGCAATACACAGGTGACACAACTCTGCATGCTGAAAATGAGGATGACTTGAAGCACTTACTGATGAAGATTAAAGACTACAGTCTGGAGTATGGATTACACCTCAATTTAAAGAAAACAAAAATCCTCACAGCTGGTCCAATAAACAGCTTCACAGAGGATGGAGGAAAGATGAAGTTGTCAAAGA